TTAATTTTTGGGGGGGGGGGGTTCCCGGGGGGATTCCCCCCCCCCCCCCTATAGCGACGTCTCTGAATGCAACCGAAACTATGGTCGCCATTGTTTTTGAATTTTCTGCGTGTCTGCTACAAAAACTTGGTTTATGCGAAGATCTCTGTGTAGATACGATCACTTTACTTTCTTTCCTTCGGTGCAGTTCTCACAATTTTCCACGGCAAACGCCAACTGCCGCCGATATACAGCTGAAAATGAAATTATCAACGGGAAATTTGGGCGACGAAGATTTTTAATTTAACTGATTTTTCAAAACATTGCCGCTATTATGAACAGCTGCGTGCCTATTAAAAGACAAAATTAATTTTGAGTTGTTTTTCCTTATTAGTTTGCTTATTATTCGCGTTTTAGAATTATCTTATTAGCGAGCTTAAGTAAGCGACGTTTTTGACAACACGAACGTTCACCGGAAGCAAATTTGACGTTATCAACCAACCAACATTCTTGACCCAATCTTTTAACGTTACTCATGCCGTCGTGTTGTCAAAAACATCGCTTGCTTAAGCTCGCTATTATCCTGGCGGCATACGACCACAGAATAGAGACATTACAGACGGGAGCTGACATCTTGGTTTTGCCAATGATTTTGGGGATAACTGTTGCAATGCTGTCGCCATGTTTCTAGCCCGTGGGCTTACGAGAGGCATCCACCCCATTGAAAATATTCAAAATGGTGGACTTTTTTCTGCGGGGAAGGGGGTGGATGCCTCTCGTAAGAGCACTGGCTAAGAACATGGCGAGAGTATTTTGATGACAAATCGTTACGAATCATGGCGGTGCGAATCATGGCGCTTTTTTGACCTTGAGTGCAATGTTACAAACAATTTTAGAGCAACGTCCTGTAACAAAGACAGAACAACGATGGTATACGCTCGGACGGTAGATATGTCTTGTAATTGTCAATTATTCACAACAAAAACTTGGCCTTCGAACTCAACGGCATTTGTTAACGAGGATTTGTCAAACGTGCGAGGACTGTCGGCATAAGTGCTTGAGAACGGAGCTTCGACTGTGTTGAGTTTTCGTGAGCAAAATAACGTCTAAAATGTCAACTATACATGAATAGGGCTTTGACTGGAAGTTTTGTAAATGTTTTATATTTATTTTAGAATGCGCATGCGTACGTGAATGCCGGATTCAGGGCCTCGATGAATTCAAATTTTACTGTAAATGGAACTCCAAGTTTAGTGTTTGGTGGCGTTAAGCTTTCTCCGGTGAGTAAAATCGAATCTAGCTTTGTTCCTGGACAGGTTGTCCAAAAGCCGTTTATATTAATCCCTTTTATCCTAAGTCAACGAAAAACGTCACAGCAATATTCCCAAAAGTTATTTATAAACATGGAAGCGTTGCCGTGCCCAAACGAAGTTAATAGGCATCGTTTTATATTCGATGCGTGAGTTTGTTAGTCAGTTGGGAATCACAAGTCTTGGTATTTATTCAAAAGTAGTATGTCTTTGCGCATGTAGTGCACTTGTTTTGCGTATGCTCCAGATCATCGCACTGTAGTACCATGTCTGTCCCGAAAACTTGTTAGGATCAAGAGATGTTTTATTTTTTAAAGTCTTTAAATAAAGGGGCGTGCGGAAATAAAAAAATTGAAATAGCAGGTTAAATTCTAATTCAGGATTACGGGGCTGAACTTACTAATTAGTATTAATATATATTAAAAATCTATTCTCGTTCGTCAATAATTGGTCTAAACGCGCCGGATAATTCTCTGTATCTTGAAGCCGTCGCGCTATTTCAGCTGGTGACGTCATCAGCATGCAATCATACTTTTTTGGACCGATCTTCGGCCCAAATAAAACAATTATTGAATTCGGTTTTCGTAAGATATCGAGAATTATCAAGGCCTCGGTTTGTGTTATCCACCCCAGCCTTCGGGTAATTCGGTGGATATCTAAAATGTCAACTATACATGAATAGGGCTTTGACTGGAAGTTTTGTAAATGTTTTATATTTATTTTAGAATGCGCATGCGTACGTGAATGCCGGATTCAGGGCCTCGATGAATTCAAATTTTACTGTAAATGGAACTCCAAGTTTAGAATTATGAATCCCCTCGGTTTGCATGTCATATCCACCCCAGCATCTTCGGAAGTCAGTCGGGTGGTATAACGTTTGCAAGACTTGGTACTTGAAAACTTGTTAATAAGAGAGTTTTATTTTTTAAAGTCTTTAAATAAAGGGGCGTGCGGAAATAAAAAAATTGAAATAGCAGGTTAAATTCTAATTCAGGATTACGGGGCTGAACTTACTAATTAGTATTAATATATATTAAAAATCTATTCTCGTTCGTCAATAATTGGTCTAAACGCGCCGGATAATTCTCTGTATCTTGAAGCCGTCGCGCTATTTCAGCTGGTGACGTCATCAGCATGCAATCATACTTTTTTGGACCGATCTTCGGCCCAAATAAAACAATTATTGAATTCGGTTTTCGTAAGATATCGAGAATTATCAAGGCCTCGGTTTGTGTTATCCACCCCAGCCTTCGGGTAATTCGGTGGATAACGCAAGACTTGGTCTTTATAAATTTCGATATCATACTCAACCTCATTCAGTAATTGTTTATTATTTGTGTTTCATTTTATTGTTGTCGTTGTTTTTGTTACTTTTTTCCCCAATTATTTGCTCGCTTTTAGGGACCGTTCATTTTTTATCAGGAGGGGGCTGGTGGTTTTGGGCGCTTTCATTATAATTTCGTTTCGACCCCCCCCCCCAGCAGATGCAGGAAAATTTCCTGTGGCCCCTTTTCTACTCCAAGTTTTTTTCCCATGATCCCGGTACATGCATGATGACCTGGGTATGGTCTTGGACATTTGGTCATGGTAGGCCCTACGCAAGTGGTTTTAGCATGCACTGAATATCACAAATATGTAAAGTTCCTAGTAATTTGTTCATGTGTACTTTAAGTTTAAATTGACTACTGATGCATGCACCAAAACTTTACTTTATATAAATGAAAGAGTTTTTATAAATGAAAGAGTATGAAAGTTGATTGCTTTGATTTGTATGTATTATGTATTCATTGATGTTTTGGTGCCCCCCTCAAAATTTAATTTTCCTGAGATGACCCCCCTCTCACATCGCTATTTTTTCTGGTGGCCCCCCTGCAAAAACCACCAGCCCCCTCCTCCTGATAAAAAATGAACGGAATATATGAAATGTATTGCTTAGCAATATGTTTAAGTGGGAGCGGCGTGACACAAGGTGAATTGAAAGAATGCTCTTGTGCTATGTTTAATTATTTCGTTTAGTTGCGAGCCAGTGAGACAGAACAATATCTTTCTGGAAAGAACATTCTTGATTCAGGAACACTAAAAGGTAGTTATAGTTAAGCGATTTATAGCCGGTGCACAGACTAATTTATTGCTTATTACAATATAAGTGGGATATAACACGTGAATTGATTGGCTAATGCTCGTGCATTATATTTCCAAAACATTGTCAGTGCCGATCCAAAATTTCTTGGAAAGCAAAAAAAAATCGACGGAAATTGAAGTACAAAAGCAGCCTACAAAAAACAGCGGCGTGACAAAGGCAAAGAAATTTTCGCAGCTGTTTTTGAGTCTCAATTAAACCACACGAGAAAAACTTTAAAAAGCCACAGGAATACAAAAATAAAAGCGAAAATCTAAATATTGCTTATTACAATATAAGTGGGATATAACACGTGAATTGATTGGCTAATGCTCGTGCATTATATTTGTTTCCGGTTTCTTGCCAAAACATTGTCAGTGCCGATCCAAAATTTCTTGGAAAGCAAAAAAAAATCGACGGAAATTGAAGTACAAAAGCAGCCTACAAAAAACAGCGGCGTGACAAAGGCAAAGAAATTTTCGCAGCTGTTTTTGAGTCTCAATTAAACCACACGAGAAAAACTTTAAAAAGCCACAGGAATACAAAAATAAAAGCGAAAATCTAAATATTGCTTATTACAATATAAGTGGGATATAACACGTGAATTGATTGGCTAATGCTCGTGCATTATATTTGTTTCCGGTTTCTTGCCAAAACATTGTCAGTGCCGATCCAAAATTTCTTGGAAAAATTTCATCAAGAAAGTACCTTAAATACTTCAAATTAAAACAGCTTGACATATTTTCGTAGAAACACAAAAAACATAATGATAATTTCAACGAAACAACTTGTCGATAACTTGATCAAATTCGGCTGGTAAGATGCAGCAAAACAACTGTAAATTCGTCTCCTTACCAAATTGTGGTATTTTTGTCATTTTCCAAGTTTAATTTCCAAAATTTATAGTGTTTTGGACCTTCTCCCGCCCGAAAATTCAAGCTTGTTACGTCCTTAGATCGTAATATCCGAGATACTAATTCCGCCCGGCTATTTACACCTGGGAAAAGGAAAGCATTAGCGAAGTCTAAAGTTGACTATAGGGCGCGTGACTATGGTTCATGGGTGGACCTCAGGTTTTAATCTGATCAACCAGCTCCAAGGTGACTGGCTGAGCGAATTGAGACCATATCATTCAAATGATCATCACAAACATTGAAGTTTCTCGGTAAAAACATTGAACTTTGTCGCGAGAATAGACGATGTTTTTAATATCTGCGACCGTTCATCCTTATTGCAAGCGACGGTAGGTACAAGCCCGTAGTTGGCTGTAAAAATTCAGCGGAGGGGCCGTTTATGTGTTAGTTAGATTGAAACGCAGCAAAATTTGATAAAATGACATGTTAAAAAATTAGCAAGATGGAGGCATCACATGTGATATTAGTTTCTTATCCAGTCTTTTTTGTTCACGTTATCCCCGAGCCGACGGCGCGAAGCGCCGTGCGAGGGTACTGATTCCCCCGGCTATTTACACCCGGGGAAACGAAGGCATTAGCGAGGTCTAAAGTTCACCAATGGTCGCGGGCGTGGCTCTCTGTGCGTGGGTAGTCATCCTCACTGATCTAAAAAATGTGGCGGACTGTCATGAATAGCAAACACTGTGATTGGTCCAATTTAAAGTTTGCATTATAACGACTGCATGGTGACAGCGAAATAGCAAACATTTCTTGATTTGATGATTGATAATAAAATTTCTTGCAAATATATTTCATTCTTGCTCGCAATTTTGCAAGATTTTCTAAATTTCAAGAAAGAAAGGGCGAAAGAATCGGCTAAAAGAAGGGAGTCGACGTTAACGAAGGTAAGTTTGTTATAAATATTCATTTTATAATTGCTTTAAAACCCGACGGCCTTTGCGTATATGAAACAACTAAACAAGACAGCATATAATTTCAGTGTGTCTTTAATATTGATTCCCTTTTTTTATTATATTGAATTTTTTAAATAAAAAGGAAAGCAAAGTTATTTGTATGCGAGAATTTGAAATCATTTTATTGCAAACTCAAAGTTTACCTATATAAGGGAAAGTACATTAATTGTGCCGAGGGGGGATGAAGATGTCTTGAAAAAAGCTCATATTTTTGCCACTGTTGAGGTGGTTGGTAAATTTTCGATGCCCTTCCCTCCAACTTTTTAAAATTTTTAGTGCCCCCCTCTAGAATTCGGAATCGAAGGAGTACAATCCGGAATTCTCTCTTATCATAGCACAGGACGAAATTAGAAATATAAATCAGATTAAAGGGATCTTAAAGGCATATTAATGGTGCCTATAATGACATTTAATCTGCAGGATTATATTTTGTAAAGGTACGTATACATCGCTTTAAGCCTGGCAATTAAAGCGGCGCAGTGGAGGCTTTACGATTTCGCGTTATATGTTGCTTAAATAACTGTAAAGGTATGTTTACTGGTTTGTGTAAAGAAATGGTATATCTAATTTAAAGATAGGTTTACACTGCTTTACTGATACTATTAAAGCAACAGTTTATGTCAGTTTACCTTTACAGCATTTAATCTTCATAGTAAATTTTGTAAAGGCGTCACGTGAATGAAATCCAGATTTCTTACTTTAAAAGGTCTCTTTAATGGTTGATGTAAAGAAATGGTATATGTAATTTAAAGATGTGTTTACACTGCTTTACTGATACAATTAAAGCAGCAGTTTATGTCAACTTACATAATTTAATCTTTACAGCATTTAATCTTCATATTAAATGCTTTAAAGGTGTCACGTGAATACAATCCAGATTTCTCGCTTTATCATGGGGGTTATCTTCGGTATTATTGGCAGTGCCAGTGCTCACTGCAATGTCATGCAATAAAACAAACAAATAAGTTCGACTAATTGTCTGAAACGTCGAAATTGTTTTATTTTAATTATTAGCAGTAAACTCAACACAGATATTGCCAAACAAGTAAAAAAAGACACAGATAAATGGTGTATATTAATTAACTGTAATTTGTAATTTTAATAAGTGCCTATTATTATCCCCGAGCCGGCGGCGCGAAGCGCCGTGCGAGGGTACTAATTCCCCCCGGCTATTTACACCCGGGGAAACGAAAGCATTAGCGAAGTCTAAAGTTCATCAATGAGCGCGGGCGTCGGTCACCAACGATGGGTGGTCATCCTCACTGATCTCAAAAATATGGCGGACTGTCATGAATAACGGACACTGATTGGTCCAATTTAAAGTTTGCATTATAACGACTGCATGACGACAGCGAAATGCCGAAATAGCAAACATTTCTTGATTTGATGAGTTGATGATTGATAAATTTCTTGCAATTATTCTTCATTTTTGCTCGTATTTCTGCAAGATTTTGTAAATTTCAAGAAAGAAAGGGTGAAAGAATCGGCTAAAAGAAGGGAGCCAACGTTAACGAAGGTAAGTTTGGTTTTAAATATTGATTTTATAATGGATTTAAAACCCGACGGCCTTCAATTTGCGTATATGAAACAACTAAACAAGACGCATATAATTTCAATGTATCTTTAATATTGATTCCCTTTTTTGTTATATTGAATTTTTTAAATAAAAAAGAAACCAAAGTTCTTTGCAAGCGAGAATTTGAAATCATTTTATTGCAAACTCAAAGTTTATCGATAAAGCCATTTAATTTATAAAGGGCAGTTTAAAGTTTTATAAAGAACACTTTAAAACGTTTTACAAAGCGTTTGTGGTTGAATTTTACATTAAATTGAGGCTTATATTACGTATAATAACATACCTAACATATATATGTTGGGAAATGGATAATTTTGTAATTAAAAATGAAATTTTTAGGCGATTTTTCATTTGAAAGAATATTCTTAAAAAATTATCGTGTTACCATGACAACTACTTTAGATACTTCATGTTCGGAAAATACAATGGTTTTGTCAGCAAGGCGGGGGTTTCTGCATGCATGTATTTTCTAGTTCTTACTACTAAATTTGTAAAATTACCAATATTATCACAGGGGGTCCAACTAAGAGCTGTGTTATGAATATGAATAAAACATATTAAATTAAATGTAATGTGAATAAAACATCATAATGTAATATATTTAAATTATTGCACTTGCTTCTATAAATCATAAGAGCTTGTATTTGCAGTGAATAGCTTGAAACAGGGCGCTTATATATGCCCAGAAACATTGCTTCAAACGATTGTTCAAATATGGCGAATAAATAGACAAAACAAAAATATTACATGACATTCCAACGAAAATAACAGCGCGGATTGCGGGCGTGAGCGGAAGGCGAGGGTAATAGATATTTAATTTCTTCCCTCGCGCGCCCAATCCTTGCTTTTATTTTCATTGGAACGTCATGTAATATTTTCGTTTTGTCAATTTATTCGCCATATTTGAACATCGTTTGAAGCAATGTTTCTGAGCATATATAAGCGCCCTGTTTCAAGCTATTCACTGCAAATACAAGCTCTTATGATTTATACAAGTAAGTGCAATAATTGAAATATATTACATTATGATGTTTTATTCATATTTCGTTTAATTAATATGTTTTATTCATATTCATAACACAGCTCTAGCCTCTTAGTTGGACCCCTTGTGATATTATGGTCTCAGATCTCGCCATGCAGGCCTAGAAAACAAATTTTGTTAAACTTTTTCCTTGGCCTTTCCAGGCGTTGCAACCACGCCCCGGCCAAAGCAAGCAGCAGCACCCCCCAGATATTTATCCACACACACCCCCAGAACGAAAATATGAAAATCCGTCTCTGCATTATCTGTTCGATGATCCGCTTTTTTGCAAGTCAATTTATAATGTTTTGAAAAGTCGCCAGTGCAGTTAAACTGGCGACCGAACCTTGCCGCTGCTTGATACTTTAAAACAGACAAATTGTGACAAATAATCCACATAGCACCAGGCGACATGATCGGCTATAAACATAGCAGTCGCATGCACTACTGCTGTAATCTTTTTCATTCAAACTATAAACTCGAAAGCATTTTTGCTAGCAGACAAATGGTAAACTCCCCCCCTGTAAGCTGTTTTGTTGGTTTTTTGATAGCCAATAGGATCGCATATATGTGTTTTAAAATGGTGATTTTCGCATGGCAACAGGCATCCCGCATTGAGACATGGCAAATTCAAAGAAAATTTTCATATTTTTTCATCTTATAAACTTGTGTTGTTGCAAAAAAACGTACATATTTAGTAAAACTATCCTACAAGTAGGGGCTGCTATTTTTTAGCGTACTTTGTTCACAAGACGTTGTTTTTTTCGACTTGTTTAAGCCGTGGCGAGTCAATATTATTTACTTGCCAACCTTAGGATATTATACTACTGAATGATACGTCACGCCGTGCAGATTGTTGGGCTACCTATGCTGGATCTAGCAATTTTTGTAATTTAATCGGCTCTCAAATCTGGCTACTTTTGTGCCTTGGACTGCACATCTTAATGCACTCTTGGGAACTGTTCTGCATGCCTGCACTTCAATTTTCTAACATTTTCCCCATACCCTGGGCTATTTGCTCTGACTGGAAAGTTTGGAAATTGCATGCCAGAGATTTCAAAAATTTAACAGTAATTATATAGAAAGCATCAAAATTGTGCGCCGGAGATATCCGCCGCACGATACAAACTTTCCACACTGGGTATTTGCTGGGTTTAGATTAATGTTTGAGGCAAAAAACCCTAGGTCTCCAGGGATCGATGCCAGGGGTAAGCTGATAATAGCCGCATGATTCTACTTACTCTCATTGTATATGGCTGATAGCCAACTCAGTGCTATATAATTTCTTGGAATAACTGTTAAATACTGTACATAATGGAACATACAAACTCTAGTATGGATGCTCCAGTATGGCCGAACGAAAGGGGATGTGCATATATCTACTCTTGTGGTGCTGCTAATATATATTTACTAGTATTTGGTCACATTTTGCCACATGTCCAGTGCACAAAAAAAGTGCCATATTTCCTTACCGGGGTCACAAAGCAAGATATAAATAATAACATATTAAAAGTACTCACCAAAGTAAAGTTAAATTTGACCATATCCGTACAGTGAACACTGTGAATATTCCAAACGAACCGAGTGTATATGGTTATATGAAGATCATACCCTGTATGAGAACACAGGTGAAAGATATAAATGCTTTATCCCACAATAAAAGATGCTTTACACAGCTGATGAACGACCACGTCCTGTTTAATACTCCTGTATTAAAGCTGCTGGAAGTAAGGTATCAGCTTACACCGTAACCCGCCCGCATGTATTTTTCGCACCGCATGAACTTTTTCATTTATATTTTCACGTTTTTCATTATTTCAAAATTTTTGCTTTGTCTGAAGATTTTCTCATCACAGATGATGGACTGCTGTAAATTTATTGGCAATATAAGCGAAAATTTGAACAAAAACTGCAATTCAACACTCTATGCGCACGATATACCGCCTGCTTCGCAGGCACTCAGAATCTTACATGAAGTCACCGCGCAGTATCAAAGATACCGCTGACTTTTAATCATACACGCGTAAAAACGATTTTTTTCGAACAACGATTTTTGCCGTGTAGTACACGCGTAAAAATTGAGAAAATCAACAACTTGTTGCAAGTTGATATCGACAGGCGTGAACAAGGTTATGCGGCCCACTATGAACTGTATTGTGAACATGTTGTTACAACATTGTTCAACTGTAACAACTTGGAACAACATGGTTGACAACTTGTTCATAGTTGGCCGCACAACATTGTTCACGCCTGTCGATATCAACTTGCAACAAACTGTGCGTTTTTAGCCGTGTACACGGCAAAAAACGCTCAGGTTGATGCAATGCTGATGAAAACAGGATTTAACAATGTTTTGCCGCATTGTTCATAGCTGTCAACATTATAGTGAACAATATTGTTACACCCGATTCAGGCTCAACAATATTGTTCAATATTGTTACCAAGTGTGAACAATGTGGGCAGCAAAACATTGTTCAGTCCTGTTGAGCAACGGGCTCAGCGTTTTTTGCTGTGTAGAATAAGAAATAGTCAGGTCTCTTAGTGCAAAATAGTGGCCCGATGTTTACAGGAGTGACAAAAGTGCCAAATTTGGCACATAGCTTCCTTAGCATATACACATTAATATTAGAAGGGGTGCCCATCGCGAATCATACTTGTTAAGGCTTAATGCGCTAATGAAGTTTTACCTAAAATCACGAAGTGGGTTACCTTGGTTGCTATATCTTTTGTCTTCATTCTGCAAAGAACAAATAAATAACCAGGGGCGCACATTCGAAAAAAAATTGGGTGGGGGGGTGTCCTATGTTCTGGGACCGACTTTTGTAGTATTTGTGTTTGGTAAGAAAAGCCAACTATTTAAATTAAAGCGCATAGACGGTAAGGCGGGGATAGTATTCCAAGAGTTTAAACAAACGTTCAGTTTTAACTGTGATTTTTCAGAACTTTTGCAGTGGTCTAAACTTTCGGAGGGGGGTGGGGGTTATTTTATGAATTTCGAATGCGAGCGCCGTAGGCGCGAGGAAAATTTTGAATTTCTAGATTCATTAGAACGCTATTTTACGTATTTTAGGACGAGGTTTGAAGAAAAGTTACAACCACAAAAAGGCATTTTTAAGTCGCCTAATGTTGTTTATAGATCGAAAAATATTTATGTAAAACATAGTATTGTACACGCAAATACAACAGCAAAATAGCATCATGTCTTCGTTTTCGTAGAAGTCGGTCATGAGTGTTGCTTTGAGCGCAAATTCAAGTTCAAATGTGCTTTAAAGCAACCATGCATGGGCATTTTTACTGCATGGTGTTAGGATTCTAGGTAGGGAAGACTTCAACTTTTATTGGCAAACCGAAGAGATGGGCTTCATTATTCACACATCGTACCCCCACCCCAATTTCTGCCCGGATTTCAGCTTTCCACAAGGGCAGAGCCCTCCGAGCCTCCATCTTGGCTACGCCGCTGATTTACTTCTGCCTTCCAAAGTTTCAGCTTTTACGGTAAGACTAACAATGCACATTTTAACTGCACCGCGGGGGCTTGAGGTAATCGGATCGCATTACGTTGGTTGAACTGTTGCAAAACGGAAGTTGATTATTTGCTCTCCTGGTTTGTGTCAGTGAACTCTAATTTGTGTATGACTAATTCGTTTTTCTTTGTCTAATTCGTTTTTCTTATGTTTATGCAACTTCCATTTCCAGAATGTCCACCTATTAGTGCTATTACTTTTTCGACGACACAAAATGATAATTCAGTGTGGATTATAACGGTCGGCAATCGGCCATTTACTGAACAAAAACAACCAATGGCCGATCAACTTTAGTCTGGTCGGACATTTTGACCGATCAAATATATACAAAGATTCCATTACTAAAATTCGATTACGAAGACCCAATCAAAGTGCTCGGAGGCCGTACGCTTCCCGAAGACCCAGAACGGATGAAGAAGAATCGGAAAGTAAACTATCTTTTTCACTAAGTGACTAGGATACTTGGTTTGGCAACAGTGATGAGGCAGACGAATGAATTCAAACGACATAATCGAACATTAAATTCTTAAAAGTAGAACCTGTTGTGTTTATGCACAGTACTTTACACAAAGACGTTTATATTCCAGCCGTTATGTTCTATCTCCTATATAAAAGGTTAAGATTGGCCATTTTACTTATGCATACACATAGACCTCTTTTACTGTACACAAGCAAATTTTCTTTGCTAAGTTTAGCTGTCAAGCTGTGACAAGTTTTATTCGCCTGTGTGTATGGAGAAATGGTGCAAGTACGTTTTTCTTTGACAGCTTTATTTGTTGCCATATTTCTCCATCACACACCGGCAAATAAAACTTGTTAAAGTAAAACTTGGCAAAGAAAATTTGCTCGTATAGACAATCTAGGATTTAAGGCCTATACCGTCAACGATAGGCGAGGAACTTTGCTCCTGATTTAAATTTTCTACCATGTTTTGTAGCGAAATGTTCTAATATAACAAATTAACAGTTTTATTAAGATTTAAAACTCGCGCCGACGCCGCGTCCTCGAATCGAGTGTGGTTTGTCCGTGTGTGGCAGCGTACATTTCTTCTAACTTTGTAGGTTTCTATATACGACATTTCCATGTAAATAGATGTATGACGTTAGTGATTTCATGTTTTGTATTAACATTCATCGATATAAATGTTTCTAAAGTTATCTCATGCAGTATCGTGTAAAAAAAATATTAAGAAAGTTGGCCGACCATTCTTGGCAAATGTCCGACCAACTAACCAGTTGATCGGACATTTGTCCGACCAAAGCGAAATCGTTATAATCCACACTGATCAATTGATTTCTCAATGGCTTAAGAAGTCCAACACAAAAGCAGACTTTTATCTGGGATCCAAGATTGAAGATATAAGCAAGGAACTGTTATCAATCACACCAACATGTGAGATTACACGGACACCCAGAAGCCTAGAAGATATCAAAGACTGGAAAGGTAACGATGATTCCTATTATTTTAGTCGCTGCATGTATGAGTGAGCAGTTTCAGACAACCGTTGACGTTCATACTAACTATGTAATAAATTTGCACATACAGACTCGATTTTCTTGAACGAAAAACGTTGTGTTATTTCAAAGAGCACGTAAGAAGTAATTATTGTATCCAGGCAATAATATATACAGTATATGTATATAATTTGTTGTTTTTGAATAATTAATTGTAGCTTCAGAAAAACGTGCATTCTTGCTATTTTATGCTGTGCCACTGCTGAGGAATCGTTTGCCTCCTGACCACCTTGTCTTCCTAATGTATTTGTGTGGAGGGTTATTCCGATTGCTGAAGAAGTCAATTTCTCGTGAAGATTTACAAGAGGCGCATACCTACTTGAAGTTGTTTGTCGCACAGGCACCTGTTCTTTATGGTATGTAAAAATAAGTGTTCTCACTGGTTTGGAACATGAATATTTACGAACATACAATTTTGTCGTGTGCGCGCTTGCTTACTCCAAAGTCTCTCAACAGAACACCTGCAACGCGGGCTTATTATTTTTATGTAGTCGGTTTTCTTTAATGTGTGGTATATGCAGTATCTACAGTACAATACATATCTTAGTATATGAATACCAATAATATAAAACATTAAATCAAATCTCAAATATTTTTGTTTTAGAATTACAAAACGGCCATAAAAACCATTGTTAGAATACCTCTTCAATAACAAATATGCCTTTTCCGGGTTTGAGTTTTCATAAAAGTGAAAACAATGTGAATGAATCCTCATAATTCCCTTTAGGAAAATTCGCAAGTGAGGCAAACATGGCGAAAAAATACATTTTACTGTATATATTTATCATTTCTTTTTCAGGGAAGCAATTTCAGACATTCAACGTGCACCAGCTTCTACATTTGTCAGAGGTTGTTGAAGATCTCGATCCTTTGTGGTCGAACTCGTGTTTTCCTTTTGAAGACTATAATGGTGATCTGCGAGATTTGTTTCATGGCACACAAAATGTGGATGGCCAGGTCAGTATATCTACAGTATGCATGTTACAGCGTGCTGTACAGTGGCATTCGCTCCAAAAGTCGAAGAAACCAGCGTGACCAGGGTCTCTCCCTGGGTACGAGGTTGATTGGAGACTCGTGATTTGTCAGCTGCATGCATAAGCGTATGATAAAGTGCATTATAGTGTGCAATCACTGTGTTTAGTCAATTAGTCATTAAATTTTCTCGAATTATTATTTTTTATAGATCGTAACAGCTGTGTCGATCATTCAAAAGTTACCTGAAATTGCAAGATCAACTACTACTTCTCCCAGCGTTACGGCATTTTACGAGCATTTGACAAGAAAGGGACAACAAGTGTTTTCGTCTCAGAATCAGAGATGGGCAAAAGTGTTTCTGTGAGCTTGCATGTAGCTACTTTGCTCTTATCGAAACACTGGTCGAAGACGACCAACAGCTTCCAATGTTCCGTAACAATGTAGTAGTGAATCACATCAGGAAGGTCAATCCATCCAACAGATACACTGCGTACAATAGAGTCAGACTGCACCGATCGTTCCTGGAACGTCTCTTATGATTGGTTCCTATCCCTACACCTAACCCTATGCCTACCCTACCCCTTCCGCTAGTTTTAAACGTACATGGAATTATGGCCAATCAAAAACCGGTACACCCATTACATGGAATAAAAAATTAGCTAATCATAAGAGACGTTCCGATCGCTGCTGTACACTGAACAATAATAATACTATAAATCTATAATGTAGCCTACTTACGAAAAGTACTTTCAATGACTTCAGCTTTACTGTGTATTCGACTCTCGTTATATTCAACTACCCTGTATGGGGCCATTATTAGTGACCACCATCGCAATGTAGAGTGTATGTGAAGTACTGTATAAATTACGTGTAGATAATAAATCAATTCTAAGAAGAGTGTATTTTCCTTCATAGGATTACAGCAGTTCCAGTGTCGGGAATATTGACGAAGTTTCTGAGCGTACAAGTTTCATCAGGATCCTATATCTGCTCACTTCCAAATACTTACGAAAAAGATTGAAAGGGAACTGTTCGTATGTATGCTTAACTTTTACTGTGGCATTGTGATACAGTATAAGGACATGATCGAATTATATACCCGACTCTAGTTTAATCCTATTTTGAACAAAGTTGCGATCTATAATTCTGTGAATAGGAATTGAATAGCTATTTGAACAAAGTTCGTCACAACTTTCTATGAATAGGAAATAAATAGCTATTTAAGATCTAATTAGTTTGCTATATTTATTAGCTATTTTAACAGTGGCTCCAAAAATAAAAGGAAACATAGTTTAAAAATAGCTATTTAATAGCTATTTTGGACAAAGTTCGTCACAACTTTCTATGAATAGGATATAAATAGTTATTCAAGATCTAATTAGTTTGCTATTTATTAGCTATTTTAACAATGGCTCCAAAACTGAAAGCAAACATAGTTTAAAAATATCTATTTAATAGCTATTTTGGACAAAGTTCATTACAACGTTCTATGAATAGGAATTAAATAGCTATTTAAAATCTAATTAGTTTGCTATTTATTAGCTATTTTAACAATGGTTCCAAAAATAAAAGCAAACATAGTTTAAAAATAGCTATTTAATAGCTATTTTGGACAAAGTTCGCCACAACTTTCTATGAATAGGAAATAAATAGCTATTTAAAATCTAATTATTTTGCTAGTTAATAACTATTTTAACAATGGCTCCAAAAAAATAAGCAAACATAGTTTAAAAATAGCTATTTAATAGCTATTTTGACCGACTTGTTTACTCTCAATAGGAATTAAATAGCTATTTAAAAACTATTTTTATAGTGAGATTCCGTCAATTACTCTTTCAAATAGGATTTGAATACCTATCTCAAAGCTGTTTTTTGGAAAAATATAAATAACCTATATTTTAAATAGAGTGTAAATAGTCATACACTATTTTATAAAATTTGATAAATAGTAATAAAATAGTCATATTTTTGAAAAAATAGGGAAAAAATAGGGCTAAATAGAGAAAAAATAGGTCTAAAATAGGTTATAAATATGTCTGTTTCTACAAGGGATTCATACGAATTCAAATTTCTTTTTTACTTTCTATGCGCTTCCTATTGGTCAATCGGTTCTGAAACGAAGTCTAATTGGCTCATCTAAAAGTAACAGGAAGTTGATCAATTTTCTACCAAATGAATTGATCAACTTGAGGAAAGAAATTGGTGCAGATATGGTTAGCATAATGCTCTTTCCGGACGAAGGACCTACTGACCCTACGAGTTTAGGGACTGGTCATAAATTAACTGCAAGGGTGGGCGAGAGGGGAAAAAAGGTTTCCCAGAAAAAAAACGGTGGCCCCTCCTGAGAACCTAGAAAAAATTTCAAAGCCCATGCATGGTAGGTCATTGGAAAAATTTCACGACCCATCCTGTTATACATGAATATGTACAATATAGCAGTCACTTTGATAAAATTACTAGTTATAGTATGTATTGTGTGCAAATAGGCCATATATATGTGTTTCATGGCCCATCCATTTGCACAAAAACAAATTGATGGCCCACCCAAACTGATGAAAATACTTTCATGGTCCATCATTACTTCCTCCGGCCCATCCTGACAGTTACTTTATGACCTGTCCCTTATATCGAGTTTATATTCCATACAATTGTTCCTGTGCATCGCTGTCTTTGTTTTTCTGTTTTTGTCGGACTATAAGATGCCAGCTTTTGACCGCTTAACAGGATTTATTTGGCATTAATACATCATAAAGAAAACAAGAAATAAATCAAGACGAATGTGAATATTTATTAAATCACGGATTGTTAGTTTTGATACAATCCATTATTGTGTGAATATTACAAAAAGTTTATAGAGTGTACAAAATACTCCCCAATGTACAACTGTCTGCAATCTTTACACTGACAGAATTAATGAGGTCAATGTTGTCAGATAATCACATCTTTAAGGTTGTAATAGTAAAATCACAGAGATCTATAATAAAATATAATTTCATGATTAACTCAGAGCTGCGAAGAAAAACCTGACAAAGACATATCTTTTGCTTGGGGGAGAGAGGGGGATGGGAGGTTGGGGGTCGGATTTCTGTGTTAAATCTAAGCTGAATTATCCAACAACAAAAACAAATTTTTAATAAAATATTGGGCCTTATATGACCACACAGGAATAGGAAACTTTGTTTTCCCAAGATTTTGACATGCTAGGCTCCTTGAGCCTGAATGGTATCTTTAATAATGACGCACCCTGCCTCAGTTGGTGGACAGGCCCTTCTTCATCACCTGCCCTTGTTCAGCAACCCCTCCTATGGCAAATCAATTTACATACATCTCTTGTGTAATAGAAAATTTTAAACAATAGGAGATCTTTCAAATAAACATATGATTTAAAAATTCATTATCATGGCCAGGCCGTCGGAAGTAAATCAATAGAGATCTTAAGATAGACCACGGGAAACGACGACGGGGGCAGGAAAACCGCGGATAGACTGGGAACGAGAACGCCATCGGGTGTTGCGCAACAGGTCCTTAAGATGAACAGCGGGAAACGGCGACGTGTGGGAAAATCGCTGATAGGCTGGAACGCAAAGCAGTAAAGTTAGTAAACAAAAATGCTATTAATTTTGCAAAAACTATACGGTGTAAATATTGCAATGGGCTCGTTCAGAGATACCAGAAACGTTTTACTTTTGGCTTACGACGAAGATATTATTGATGATGAAGAGTTTGTGATTTTGTATGACCTAAATACTTAAAAAAATCCTTGTTTCCCATACGGAGAGTACGATGATTTTGATTTGGAAACCATTGATGCTGTCGATTCAAAAGCAGAATTTCGTGTGGAAAAACACGATATACCTCTTTTAGCCGAAGTTCTTGGCATACCAGAAAAGTTTCGATGTCAGCAAGGAACAATATGCGATGGAATTGAAGGTCTATGCATGTTGCTTAAACGACTTGCATATCCATGTCGGTATAGCGACATGATACCTCGTTTTGCTAAACCAGTTCCTGTTTTGTGTCTGGTAACAAACACTGTAGTGGATTACATTTATGACCAACATCAGCATCGTATAACTGGATGGAACCAAACAATTCTGAATCCTGTCAAACTGGAACAGTATACTGCAGCTATCTCAAGGAAGGGAGCAGCTTTAGAAAATTGTTTCGGGTTTATTGATGGGACTGTTTTGTATCTTGCTTGTTTGGGTTATAGAGACCTCTAGCATATATGCTACTCGCACTAGTTGTAATCAAAGACTAATTTATTGATAGAATTAATTAAATATATATACAAGCATTGACAGGCAGTTAGGATATATGATATGGGTGTGTGTGAAAGGTTAAGCCTGGAATGAATTAAGTACAGGATACAACATTCCTCCCCTGTTTAGTAACTTGCTAGGTTGAACTATATATATTTGATTCCTATTGCTGATTGTTCGTAATTTGAATTTCGTACCATTGTTCTTGCTAAATTAACTAAATTATCTATGTGCTTAATACTGTCAGATTCTCTTAGCTTAGGTGTCCATTATTCAATATCTAAGGCGATCTGGGACGGTTTTCTCTCGTGTGGATCTGCGGAGCGGGGTTGGGTCTGGTTGGATGATGGGAATGTTTGGGTTGCTGTCTGGTGGGGTTTCTTCAGTGGTGCTTTGGGGTGGTTGGGATTCTGCAACGAAATCCTCGTCTTCTACGTTGTTCGGTTCTGATGTGGTCCAATATTTCTTGACATGAGAAGAGTTTCGTCGGTGCTGTTTACCATGGAGATCTGTTAACACGATCTGTGTTCCGTTGATCTTCGTGATTGTCATCGGATCTTTGCAAAACTTTGTCGAATACTTGTTTTTTCTCTTCTGTTTGACCAGAACTTTATCTCCTACGATCAATTTTCGTTCCGCTGCATGACGTTTCTTGTCGGTGTATGCTTTCGCTTTGGACTTCTCGTTATCGTCTTTTCTTCGCACTTCCTCGTGCCAATCTGTTGGTTGGTCCACCGTGGAAATTGCTGGGATCTTGGTTCGAAGTT